ACTTTCAAACTCTTGTTCTGCAGAAACAGGCATTCACTTCTCCCAAGGAGAGCATGGCACAACTTCCTGCCACACACCTGTGGGTGAATCACATCCAAGCGCAACAGAGCCACAGCTGCTGCTTAATTTGTATTGATCAAGGATTCCTTTCAGAATCTGGCTAGATAGATCAACAGCCTGACTCAGTATAAGGCAGCTTCCTATGTCCTAAGTTGTTCTGAGTCTTTCCCATTTCTCCACCTGAAGCCCATGAGCATGTGCAGAATGTGCTTAAACCCCATCACGTCTGAATCTAACTGACATTCAGGGGCAGGGCTAGCCCACACGCTTGAGCCAATGCATTTGTCTACACTGGAATACAGCCTCTGAATAGCCAATAGCTAGACCAATCCAACAGCGGCAGCCTGAGATCCTCTAAATCTTACCTGGCTTGAGATTTGTAGACAAGGTTTTCAAGGGCATCAAGAATGCACTCCCCCCCCCCCTTGCAGAATTATGCTTCCCAGGTTGGTTAACCATGACAGTCTGAAAATGGTTAAAGCACAAGTGCAGACAGGGCCTCAGATGCCCCTCTCTGCGCAGCCCTCCAAATCAGAAGCTGAGCATCCAGCAAAGCACAGTGGAAGACTTGGGAGAGGAGGGGAGGATGGAGAATTACAAACAAGCGTGAACACTCACATTCCCGATAGGAAGGAGAGAATGGAGAGACCAGGCTGAGAACCAGCCAACCAAGTAATTGTATACTATTTCATTTCAGGACTTTATAAATCCAGAAAATTGTTCTGAACAAGACAGCTAATTTCAGCTCTCCCCAGTCCAATCCCAAAACTCTGGGCCAGCCTTTGCCAACTTGGTGCCCTCCAGAGGTTGTTGGGAGGGACAGGTGGGAATTGCAGTCTAACAAACTGTGAAGGGCATCAGGTTGGCAAAACCCCAAACTTGATTAGGGAAAGTGCCATAGTTCTGCGGTAGGTAATCAATACTTCAAGGACTGCCTCTCCCCATATGAACCGACCTGGACCCTGTGATCATCATCTGAGACCCTTCTTTGTGCCCCTCCTCCATGAGAGGTCCAGAGGGTGGCACCACAAGAACGGGTCTTTTCTGCGGTGGCTCCCTGCTTGTGGAATGCTCTCCCCAGGGAGGCTTGTCTGGCGCCTTCATTATATATCTGTAAGTGCCAGGCAAAAACATTCCTCTTCTCCCAGATCTGAAACCTTGGAGAGTCACGGCCAGCAAGTGTAGATGATACTGAGCTAGATAAGACTGATGGAATAAGACAGCTTCCTAAATTTCGCCTCCAACTTGAGATGCTGGGTTTAATCCTCCTTGCCAGCCACCAGAGCTTAGTTCTGAGCCAAGGCAGACCACAACTTAAGACTTTCACTGCCACAAAGGTCCCAATGTGCAATTGCTGCACCGGCTGTGGTTTTACCCAATGGTGAGGTAAAGGCACTCTGCACAGGTTCATAGTCTTGGGGGGCTTCAAATCCCCACCCAGCCACAAACTTGAGTGGCAGCATGCAAGTGACTCAGTTTCAATTCCCCATGTGTAATCTGAGAAAAGGCTTCTGGGGCTAATAAGTGCCCCTCCACGCACATATTAAATCCTGCCAGCAGCAGGCAATCCACACAAAAAGGCAGCAGCAAGACTAAATGGATACCAACATTGCCTGGAGGATAGGTCTATCAGTAGCAAAGAGGACAACACAAAACCTCCATGTACAGAGGAAGTATACCTCCAAATATCAGGTGTTGTGGAGAAAGAGCAGAGAAACCACATTGTTAAAAGTAGGGAATTGGTTCCCACAAAAGAGGACGTGGACAAATTCATGAAGAAGGCGGCTATCCACAGCCACTAGCAATTGTCGCCAGCGTTCAAAACCTGCCAGGTGCCGGGCGCATTTTGCACCTGACTATTGGCCACTTGCGGCCAAGTGAAGATGCCCAGGTGCCAGGGTGGCAGCTGACGTCACCACCACCTGGAGGTGCCTGCCTGGGGATCTTGTCTGTTTTCACACACTAGCAACACATCCTTTAGAATTCTATTTGTGATATTTTATCTGCACAATCAGAAAGAAATTCAGGAACAAAAAAGTTGTATTGAAAAATACGACTTTTGAGCAGTCTGGCCCCAAAGTGGAAACTAGACATTCAATTTTGGCAACTGTAACCCTGGTTTAAGGAGCCATTTGGCGCCTGGCTTACAGAGCCGTGCTCTTGTGCTCAGGTCCTGCTTGCAGGTCTCCCAGAGGCACCTGGTGGTCAGCCATTGTGAGAAGAGGGTGCTGGACTGGATGGGCCACTGGCCCGAACCAGGAGCCAGGCCTCTTCTCACAAAACATCTTCGCCTTCACAAACCTTGCCTGTGAGCTTCCTAGAGCTGGCGATCTGCTTACAGAATATTGGATTAGATGGCTCTGTCATCTGACACAGTGATTTATATATTTGCGTGCTGCTCCCACTACGCACATGTGCTCACACACATGCGCACATGTGCTGAAGGAGAAAATGAGTCCTTGCTCTCCTCGTCCCCAGTAATGTGATTTGCTGGCTGCCCCCTTCCTCCCAAGGGCAGAGTTTCATGCCACACTTCCCAAACTGGCTTCCTTCCAAGGCGGCAGGAGTCAGGGGGCTACCTGTCTGTTGGCTCTGCTTGTTCGCAAGCCAGTTTGCCTTCTCTTAAAATTATTCCAGACAGGGAAGCAGCAAAGTCAACTCCCCACACGACCCTCCGGTCAGCAGGACTCTGCAGAGTGTGCCGGTTAAACCATAGTAGAAAACTGCCCCAGAGAGCCCCCCCCCACGAGCCGAGGCCCGTCCCTCCCCTCCCCCATCAGGCACACAAAGCCAATTAGGACGCCGTGGTTTTTTAATATCATCAAAGCGCCCTGCCAAGGCTCCCAACAGCCGCAGCCGTTTGGCCTGCATCATTATGCCCACTTAACAGATCACAAGCCGGGGATGAGTAACAGCCCATGGGGTGGCTAGAACCAGTTTTCGCGGCACTCCACCTCCTAGGGCTAATTTAAAATTAAAGTAACTATATATACCTACAGAGCAAAGCAAGGTATTTGAACCTAGAAAACCTGGGATCCACTTTGCGCTTGGTCACGTGCAGACACAAGCCACTCAGGCACCAGGGTAATTTGGGGGCGCCTGTGGCTCACCTGACAGCACTGTTGTCGGAAGGATAAATGTAAAGAACACGGCCCATTAAAATGTTCTGCCAGTTATTCCCTAGGCAAGGTTGGCAAAGTCACTCCTGCCCCTCAGCCTCAGGGGCGCAGTCTGTAAAACGAGAAAACTGCAGACCTAAAAACACTGCTTAGCATCTCCACACCTATTCCAAGGGTTCAGAATTGCTTCACAAACATTTACCTCACTAATCCTCACAAGAACCCTTTAAGGTAGGTCCACAGACAGCGAAAAGCAAAGACTGGGAGCCAGTTGTCTTGGCTGGCCATCTGACAGGCACCGCAGGGGGTCTGGGGGTCCCTTCCAACTCTACAAATCTATGATTCTTGGTAAGTTCATGGCAGACCCACCCAGAGGGCACTATTGACTGAAATGTATATCAACTGCTAAAAATAAAGTAGCAAAATAAGTCCGTTTTGAATGACCTGCTTCCTTCAGCTATCCTGCTACATTTCTGTATATGGTTGGTATCCAAGTAATTTCTACAATGAAATTAATGAGTTAGTTGTGTCAATTAGCATCAAAGAGTCTCCTCTGAGGAGGACAAGCATGGGATGCAACCCTTTGCCTGACTTTTTAGTCATTATCTCCGAAGTGCTGCATCTATGCCTACAAAGCCACCAACTAACAAAAGTGAAAATGCTGCCATTTCCCTGGTCTTTGGGGGGCAGAGGCAAGTGTGGGTCTCTGCTGAGGGCAGGCTGGGTCAGGGCCCAATAGCTTTCAGAAGGCTGTGGAGGCAAAGGCCACTGCAAAATCTGCCTTTTCACCTCAAGCGTACAGCTGAACAAGAAAAGAAAAATATCACCGATTATTTGACCACCAGGGCCACGGGGGGGCATGCAGCGCAAACCACTACGTAGATGAACAGAGGATCTAAACTAGGTTTCCACCCAGTTTTATTATCCACTAACTGTGTGGAGGGGGGTGGAATGGGGGAAGCAAAATAGCCTGCACTGGCTCTATTTTAAAAGAAAGAAACAGCAATGTTCTCCGAGATCCAGGCCAAGAGCCACGGCCCTCCACACCAGAAACCTCTGCCAGGACTTAGAAATGCAGCCCAGCCAACTCACCACAAATCCTTCGATCCAGCTCTCCCCAAAGAAGCCTCCCCCCTTGGTCAAATCCCCTTTCTTGTGGCTTTCCTGTGCTTTTAACCACTTCCTGTCTTCTGAATGAGGCCAGCGCTGAGTCAGCTGTGTGTAGGAACCAGGGGGGAGAGAACGAAACAATTAACAGTTCCAAAAAAGCAGCAGTGTTTTTCTTTTCCAGCTGAGTCGGAACTGCAGCCACACCTTCCTCTGCCCCTGGGAGCTAAGTCCACCTCAATACCAAGAACACGCAGATGGATCATGTCTTCTGCAATCTCTGGCAAAGGCAGCCTTGCCTGGCCAAACTCACGCCTCCCCCCCCCCCCATCAACTCTGGGAAGGATGCAAGGCGCTGTGAAAGGCGGCACGGGAGGGAAGGAGAGAAGGGAAGACTTCCGATCCTCAATCCAACCAAAAGCTGGCTGCTAGTTCACAGCAGAGAGAAAGGCACTCTGTACATGTTCAGAGGCTACCACTTCATGCCAGCAGAGTCTCAAAGCCAGGATTCCTGTGTTCCTTTTTTATCTTCAGGGGAAAGCTGCAGTGCAGGCTGACAAAAGTGAAGTATCAACTAGGAAGGAACCTTATCAGGAACAGAAACAACACAGAACACAGAAAGCTGTCTTACATGTTCCATCTAGCTCAGCACGGTCTACACTGACTGGCAGCGGCTCTACAGGATTTCAGGCAGGAGTCTCTGCCAACCCTACCTGGAGATGCCAGGACTGAACCTGGGACCTTCTGCTTGCAAGGCAGGTGCTGTGCCACTGAGCTATGGCCCTTTCCCACCATAGACACCATTCAGCTGCCCTGAAGGTCCAGCCCAGCCACTGGCCAGAGTGAAGCAGGTACCTCTGGCTGCAGCTGCTGGGAGGCAGGAAGCAGCAGCAAAGGCTTTGGTGCTCCGTGCACAACACATACACCCATCACTACTGGTCACGGTGGCCATGCCCCACCTCCACTGTCGGAGGCAGTGCGCCTCTGAAGGCCAGCTCCTGGCATTCCATGTGGGCAGAGTGCTGTTGTGCTCAGGTCCTGCTTTTCAGGCTTCCCACAGGCATACGGCTGGCCGCTGTGAGCACAGAGTGCTGAACTAGGTGGGCCAGAGGCCTGATCCAGCAAGAAATCTGTCCCCCAAGTATGCCTGCTGCTCTTGCGTGTTGCAGAGGAGCCTGTTCTGTTGTCTGTGTTGAAGCAAGTGATTCCGCCACCAGCCTGCTCAGCTTTTCTGTATGGAATGGGGTGGGAGGCCAGGACAGAGCACCCTCTTATGGCTTACAAACACTCGCTCAAAACATCCAGTTGAGCATGCAACAGCAGGGGCAGCCATCGCCAATGGCTTTCCAGTTCACATGCCACTGGGCCAACCTGGCACCTTCAGCCCAAGATGGCTAGGAATAGCCAGAAGCCGGGGAGTGAGTGACTTACGGAAAACTTGACTTATCCCAGGGGGTGGACTGGGGGGGTGGAGGCCGGAAGAGACATCTCACTTGCTGGCAGCTGAAACAACCATTCAGATGCCAGGCTACACCAATGGTCTCCACCAGGCCATTGCCAAGTTCTATTTCAGAAATTCCCAAGAAGACAGGAGGAGGCTGCAGAGGCGGGTAATGGATCAGTAAACAACACACCCATCATGCGTCACAATCCCCAAATAAGCATTGATGTGGGATGAGGGAAGGTACCCCCCGAACACACACACAGAGCAGAAAAGCATGGAGAAAGATGCAGTAAGTCAAGACAGGAAGAAATGTGGACTTCTTTATCCTGGACGACATCAAGGACCACCAAATGACACAGAAGCAGAGTTCTAATGTTGACTGTTGTGGGACTGAGGGCGACATCAAGATGCTCATGGTTGCTGGCTGGTCTTTCTGGTGCATCCTCCACAGGTGAATCTTCATTAACTCAACCCAACCGCCTTGCCCTACTTGGGCTGCGTTTCCCTGGTACTTTATCAACCCTAGCTTGAAAACAAAAGGCATTGTAGCACCTTAAAGACTACCAAACATATTATTATGGGGCATGCTTTCTTGGAGCAGAATCCCCTTCCTCTCCAAGAGCAGCATTCTGGCACAGTTCCTGTTCCTTTCAAATGGGTTTGCATAGGAGAAGTTCCTGATTAGAGTGTGCCTGCACCTTAACTGTGGAGCGGACAGAATAGAAAATCCACTTTGATTTTCCTGCTCAGACCCCCGAATACCTGGGGTGGAGAGCAGGTTCACTCCAAGACGCCACAAGGCAGGGGTTGCCAATGTGACGCATGGGAGGACGGCAGCTCCCACCAGTTCCTGTCAGCACAGCCAATGGGCAGGAATGATGGAGCTGCAGACCACAAGACTTGAGGACATGGCATTGGCTATGCCTGGCTCCATCCCAGATTGGGGAAAGCAAGTCAAAACGGGTCCATTATCTTCCTTTGGGGTTGGAGGGCAATTCCTTTTTTGAACTAGCTGCTGTATTCTCCATTGAACATAAAAAAGAATCAGATGTTGTAGATCACTGAGACGGACTGTCACAACCAGAGAGACCCGCTGTGCATGAGGCGACCTAGACATGGTGAATTCTGTGTAGTGATGCTCACATGAGAACCTGGATGAAAGCCAAGGCCTTTCAGGTCTAGCACCCCATTTCCCAGAGTGGGCAACAAGGTGCCCCTCAGAAACCCACCATCAGGCTGTGAGTGCAGCAGTCGTCTCCTCCGGCTGGCATTCCTAGGGATGCTGTCTCTCCTGGAGGTAAGATACAGCCATCAAGACAGTGGGCACTGATAGCTTCATGCTGTGTGAATTTGCCTAATCCCTAAGTAGGTGGTGATCACTATATCTTACAGCAGCAAATTCCCAGTTTACATGCATGAATCAGTGCTTCCTTTCCTCTGTCCTAGAATCTCCCAGCATTTCAGCTTAATTGCAGGATTCTTGATTCTAGTGTTATGAAAGGGGGGGTGAGGGGGGTTCACTTTCTCCATGCCATGCATCCTTTGATAAGCCTCTGTTATCCTCCACATGCCCAGACATCTTTTTCCTACACTAACCCCCCCTCCCCATTGTTGCGATATATCCCTTGACAATCATCGCCACCCTTTTCAGAGATGTGTTATCTACACTGTGGCCCCACTATGTCTGTACAGTGTGGCCCTTTGAGGCTCTATCTGAGGCAATTGGGTTTGTACCTCCTCCACAGCCACACCCTCTCCTCCTAGAACAGCGTTTCTCAAACTTGGGTCCGCCACTTGTTGTTGGACTGATCATCCCAAGCTAGCAGGACTAGCTGCTGCCCAAGACCACCCCTGCTTTGCACCTTCCTTGAGGGTTCTTGCCTGGCTGGACTGTTGTCTTAGACCTCTGATCATGCCCCCACTTGCCAGGGCAGAGAATAAATAGCAGGGGATGGGGGTGTAGACACTAGCCTACGGTATAAAGCTAAAATTCACTTGTTGCTACACCTACTTTTGCCTTTGGTCCCACCCACCACTGGGATGCGGCCCCCAGAAGGCAATGTGGCCCTCCAGTTGAAAAGGGCTACCCACCCCTGCTACAAGGGCATTCCTCTATTGGCAACTTTGTTTTTATCCTTCTTGGCCTGAGGGATACCTCCAATTCCTGGGACTGGTTCAGATTTGACTCTTCCATCATTTACAGATTGCAGCACTAACTGAGAGACATCACACATCTGGCACCCTGGGCTTGAGCTCACATCTCCAGGGCAAGTCAAGCGGGACTCAACTGCAGAGCATGCAAAGGGTGAACTGGCCGCAGAGCACACAACCCCCATTCCCAGAAGCACCTCTGAGATGCAGGGTCAGGGCGAGTTACGCAGCATTTGGAAAGCCCTGGACAAGACCAGTTTTAGAATTCCGCAGGCCTGAGGATGGTGGGAGTCACAGCTGCTATTGTTCTTCATTAAGGGAAACAGGAAGAGCCCTCCCTCCTCCCAAGGTCCCCAAAGGAGGCAGAGGTCACGGCAGAAAGAAGCCTATAAATGGATCTCCGGAAAGGGAAGAAGGAACAGGGTCAGTGGACTGTGGGAACCGAAGGCTATTACACCAGGAAGCCCCACCACCAAGCACAGTCCAAGCAGAGCCAGATCTTGGATCTCGGCCGTCACCATCAACTGTGGGAGAAGCATGTAAAGGAAGGGTTTTGGAGTCAGCCCAGAGGCCATGTGGCCCCTCCAGGCCCCTGGGATTCTCCCTGGACCCCACCTCTTGCCAGCCCTGCTCTCTGCTCTCCTAGAGCGCTTCCTTCCTTGCTGGAACTCCATTACCCAACTAGGATGGTGCTTTTTGCACAGATGTCCCCTTCAGTACAGAAATAAAGGTGACACCCATTGCTCCACCCCCTTTTGCCTCTGGCCCTGCCCACCACTGGGAAGTGGCCCCTAGAAGGTTGGCCAGGAGGGAATGCGGCCCTCAGACTGAAGGTTCCTCAAACCTGGTCCTACTTAACTTCATGAAGGAATCAGGGGGAAGTGTGGAGTAATAAAATAAGCACCCTGAACACGTACAGAATGCATTTCTCCCGGATTCCAGGATAGCACAGCAATGCTTCAGGTCAAAGGCTGCAACCTCAAGACATACTGCAGCCCCCAGGCCTCTTTTTGCAGATTAGCCCCTCTCTCCTGCCCCACCACCCTGCAAACTACACTTGAAATCATTTTATACAACCTTCCTCACCCCTCAATTTGTGTGGATTTGGATGTGCCAGGCTACTATAAATTTATGCAAATTTAAAAATAGCTCACTGCTTAATATTAGCAGCTGCCTGAAAAACCAGACTTCAGTTATAAAAAAAGCAAATGTGAAAATTGGAATAAAGGGGGCAGGAAGATTCCAGCACTCAACAGCTTCTCCTCCAGGCCTTTTTCATAAAGATTCAGCTCCTTGGGGCACAGGAGAAAACACTCAACTTGGGGTTCATCTGTGCTCAGTCATAAGAAACTTTAAAATGTGAAGAGAGATTCCAGTGTGAAAATGCTGGATTAGAATTTATCAAGAAGTTTGACTCTATCTGCGCGGGGCTTTCCGTTTCCACTCCAGCTCTTAAATAACACAGCAAATCTAGAATGATTGTGTTGTATCACCAATTAATGCTTCCACGAATGATCCACTGGGCTTATATTGCATACATTTTAGCATTAACTGAATGGTCCCAAACTCTGCATTTTGCATTCTCTTCCCATTTCTCCCCACAGGTCACCTCCCCTTCCCATCTGAAAAATGTATAATCTGTCTGCCAGCTGAGGAGAGGTCCATGCAGCTGATGTTGTGGATGCTGTAATCCACGAAAGTATACCCTATAATACAGGGATGAGCAGGCTTGCAGGCTTTGCTTTGTTGTTTTTTTAACTCCCCCAAATCCACCAATTAGAGCCTGGTGCAAAATATGTGTGCTTAAAATTAAACAATTTGGAGTCCAGGAATTAGTTCTGGGTACCAGAACTGGCTGAGTTTTGTTGCTGCTATTGTTAAACAAACTGAGAGTCAGAAATACTTCTGATCTCCTTCAAATCACCCAGAAATCTGCCTTGCCCATCCCTGACATAATACACATCTTAATCTTGAAGGTCCCACAAGACCCTGTTGTGTTCACTGCAACAGACAACTGCAGCTATTTGTATATTTGGTTAGGCTGTCTTGGGTAGCTTGCAAGTTGGGGGCTGCGGAACTCAAACTGGAACTACTCCCTCCCCCCAGTGCTGCTGGCCGGAGCAGGTTGAATTGGCTGGTCAGACTCCTGCCAAACCCTTCTAATTCCTGCACTGTGAGCGAAGGAGAAA